AGTTAGAATTATTTTTAATTTTTAAACTATAAAGTTCATATATTCAGTTTGGTATTGAATCTATAAAAGTAACAAATATTCACCCAACTAAATGTATAAAAAAAATAGTCATAACCTACTTTTATAAAAATTGACTCGTAAAAAGATATACATGCAAACTACTCATAGTTTAATACATTTTTCATTTTTGTATTAATGATCATTTATTTAATCCAATCAGTAGAAAATGATTATTAACAAACATTTTTTCAGCATTAAAATAATGATGATCTTCCGTGTAATGCAAGTTGATACATGTTTTTCCGGAGATATTCCGAAGTTTGATTCAGAATTTAATAGAGCGGTCAATCTGAATACGGGATTTGAATATCCTAAGCGAAATGATTTACACAAACTTGGATTTAAGACTCTAAAAAAATTACTGCATATGGAAAACTTACCAATGGTAAATACTATGGAAAAAAACATTGATATAATTTACTGCGACTTGACGTGTGGCAATTTGTACGTCCTTTTAAATTATTTTTCGTTATGTGAAAAAATAAATGATAATTGTTTAAACGAATCAATTACAGAACACATGCTAGCTTCTCTTTTCAAAATAAATAAAACAATATATGTACTTCCATTCTGGCATGTACACATGTATACGTTGTATAAATCAAAGTTCCGAAATGAAACTAATGAACATCGAATACATAAAGAATGTGCAAAATTCAATTGTAATTATATTAAACTCTCATATTCAAATGTGGTGTAGAGAAAATAATCAGTATAATAAGATAATTAAACATAACGATGAGATAACACAAATACAAAATATGATTAAAGTAATAAATGATAGACAAAAAAAAAATGATATCTTATTGGAAAATGAAACAGAAAAAAATTGGGTTTCCTTAAAAAGTATTTACTTACACAAAATAATAGAAAATGAAAATGTTTTGAAAACCATAATTATGACATTTGGTAACCAAGACCAAGATGTTTATATATCAATACGTGATGATATTGGCAATGATTATGAATTGGCAAAAAATTATTATTATTATGACCGCTGGGTCATTAAATTAAGGAAATATGTAAATAGTATTTTGAATATCACAAGTACAGTCGTTTTGCATTTAATAAGGAACCATTTATATTATGCTGATCGATATTGGAATTTAAATCATAGTATTTTAAGAAATGTTGATGTAGGCCATTCCAAGATAAAAAAGTTACTTTTAAATAGTAATATCTTTAAAAATCTCTTCAGACCTGGTAACAGTAAAGTATTTAAAATTGTAAAAAAGTTGACTAAATGGCCAAAAGTTTCTAATAATAAAAATTTGTCACATACAATAATAATTTCAGAAATTGAATTTTTAATGAATAATTTGTCACCGAAATTTGTCATAATAAAACACGATACCCTGTTTAAAGCTGACTTTTTAGATAAAATAAGATTTGAAAATGAGAAACATAGTAACGGTATAAGTGTGGAAGACTCAAATAAAGTAAATAATTTTCAAAAGAAGTTTAATTTTCAAGCATTAAGTGATAATTACGCAAGGATCATTTCGTATCTACAGTATTTAGAGGCTACGTTTGATGAGTATAATATTGAGACTGCTTTATCTTACACTGAAACATTTCAGTATTATAAAGAATTAAATCATCCTACACCAATTAATAAACGAGAGGTCATTTAGAAAAAATTGCTATGGGATTATACAGTTGTTTCTTTTTATGCATCCACTCTATTTCCTTATAAAATAATAATATGTCATCAAAATTATTTTTTTTTGATTTTATAGATTTCTCAATTTTTTAGTTATTTAAATCAATCCATAATATCTGATTACTTTTAAAATAATTTTAAAGATAATGAAGATATATTAAGTAATCATCAAGATTTTCTAAATTTCAACATTTTTTTTATAGACTAGTTAAATAGGCATGTTGTCATTAAAAAAAAAAACCCAGCACAGGGGGGTCGCGGCACAGTTGTGACGTGGTATAGTTGGATCAAGTATAATGATATCTGACAGTGATTAAAATCACTATCAAAAATAAACGCTTCGATGCAAATCTTTAGATAGTGTTTAA